AACCACGGGTAGTATTGTTTTGAAAAGAAATCGATTAGCAGAAACCAGTAGTCGTGCAAGCGCTAACATATAATAACATTTATTGTGTGACATAGCCTATATTTCTGAGGTACAGGCAACATTTCCAGGTGTTGATGAATTGGCAACTATATGTTAATATTTTACATTTAAGTACAGCACTTTTTTTCTTTTTAAGAACAGTAACCTACAATTTTTAACTTTTAAAAGCACAATGTTGCTTTTAAAAGCACAATGTTGACGATTTTAGTTTTTTGTTTCTATTATTTTTTTAAATATAAGCACAGTCCAATGCTAACGTTAAGACTATTTATATTGTTTAAATTGGCTGACAATAATAAATATTCTCAATAATAGGAATCAATCTGACACATTTTGAACTGTTTAGAGCTGTAGCGGCTTTATTGAGCTTACTACGGTACTGTATTTCAACACTGCTCATTATGGTGGTATTTACAATTTTTTTTTGAGGAGGTACTTGATGGAAAAAGTTTGAGAACCACTTCTTTAGAGGATTTGGATTTTAATAGCTTTTGTGTTTTATGTGTATGCTAATGCAAAGTGTCTTTAGTCTAGTGTTTAACTGACAGATTGTGTCTGTTCCCGAACTGTGCTAGGAAGGCTGTTCCAGAGTTTAGGTGCCAGAGAAGAGAAAGATCTACCATCTACAGTTGATTTTGATAGTCTGGGAATAATCAATTGTCCACAATTAATAGAGCGTAGTGGATGTGAGGGGCTATAATACACTTGGAGCCACCTGAAATACTGGGGTGCTAAGCCTTTCAGGGTTTTGTATGTAATCTTTTAAAATTTTACAATTTATACACTATTTAATAGGGAGCCAATGCAATGATGAAAAAACTGGAGTAATATGATTATATTTCTTTGTTCTAGAAAGCACTCTTCCAGCTGCATTTTAAACTAGCTAAAGTTTGTTAATTAGGCCAGCGGGGCAACCACCTAGAAACGCATTATAATAATCTAATCAAGAGGTCATAAAAGCATAAATAAGCTTTTCCACATCAGACATTGATAGCATGTGTCTAAGTTTGGCAACATTGTTAAGATGAAAAATGCAGTTTTACAGAGACTTGAAAACTGGCCTTCAAATGGCAGGTTGCTAGCAAAAATCCCCCCCAAATTTTTGACCGAAGATGTGGAATGAACTAAGAATCCATCAAGGATTAGACAGTGTTCTAGGTTTTTGCATGTGAGGTCTTTGGGTCCAATAGGCAATACCTCAGTTTTATCTGAATTTAGCAATAAGAAGTTTTTAGTCATCCAATTTTTAATATCAGCTATACAATCTGTTAATTTCGTAAATTCGTACAAGTTAACAGGTTGAGAGGAAATATTAAGTTGTGTTTCACCAGCATAAAAGTGGAAGCTCCATGTTTTTTTAATGATATCACCTAGCGGTAGCATATATAGTATGAACAGTAAGGGTCCAAGAACTGAGTCTTGTGGTACTCTACAGTGTACTTTTAATCTGTATGATAAAAGATAGATAAGACCTGAACCAGGCCAAAGTTTATGTAATACCAACATAATTTTAAAGCCTATCAAGGAGAATATTATGATCGATTGTATCAAATGCAGCGCTGCAGTTTCCCAATAACACTAAAAGAGAAATGCAATCACAATCGGACAACAGGAGGTCATTTGTAACTCTTAGGAGTGCTGTTTCTGTGCTCTGCAATGCCCCAAATACAGAATTTTTTATAAATATTGTTTCTTTGTAGGAAGAAACATAGTTGAGCAGATTTTTCTAGTATCTTTGATAGAAAATGCAGGTTTGAAGTCGAGGCACATTTTTTTAATAAGAGGCATAATGACAGTTAGTTTCAAAGTTTTAAGATTGTATCCTAAAATAGGGATAAATTCAAAATGTTAAGAACAGGTTCAAAAACTTATGCAAAGAATTGTTTTAATAATTTGGTTGGTATAGGATCCTAGACGTTGACTTGGACGAATTTATCCATTAACGCTCTAAAGTGCTCTAATTGGGACGATGCTGTAGGAGGGCGATTGATGGTGCAAATTTCATCTCTAATATCATCAATGTTGCATGTGACAAAGTTCATAAAGTCATTACTGCGATGTTGAGAAATGCATGTTGTTGCTTTGTTTTTAGTAAGATTGGCTACTGTGTTAAATAGGGTTGTGTTTATTTTCTTCTATTAACCAGTTAAACTCTGCTGCTATTTTGGGATTTTCACCTGGATTTTGCCTACCCAAAATTAAAAGTTTCCCAAATCCACATGCAGAGTTGTAAATGCAAAAAATTGAATAATTAAAAAAAAAAAAAACTTTAAAATTTCATAAAACACTACTGAAAATGTTTTAAAAAATATGTATATGTTGACTGTGTCATAATAAACTTCTAAAAAAAAAAACTTTTTTTATTTTTTTATAAATAAAAAATTGAAAGTGGGCTCTATGTGGTCTAGGGTGCTGTAATTAATTTTGGTGGTTCCAGCACATGTCTGTAATCATAGGAAAAAAGAAAAAAGTCTCTACCATAATCTTTGCAAAAGTCATTGTATTCCAAAAGATGAGAGGTGCAATACAAGCCACAAGGATCGATCATTGTTTTCATATTTCACTATTCTTTTGTTTGATCAAACATAATTTACTATGTTTGGACCACATCAGATGTATAAAAGGATTACTTATGCACATCACCTCAAAAACAGAGGAGAATGGCACAATCAAAAGATTGAAGCGCACAGCATAAGGTAAGAGATGACAGTTGTCTGTGCTATCTGGGGCTGCTTATTGATCATAAATGTATTTTCTTTTTCACTTCTGCACCATGGAGACACCTCAATTCATTCAACAACTGTTTGATATGTGTATATAATTCAGCAAAAAGAATGCTAGAAGCGTATGAGCAAAGACAAGAGCTTTCATTTGATCTATAACTCATATGAAAATGAACTAATGTTCAATACCCAGCTCGGGTATCCAAAATACTGTGTATTTAAGTGTAAATAACTTTTATACAGTAGAATAAAAAGTGATGCATATCTGCATAAAATATAGATTCTACACTTTTAAACTAAACCACTTACGGGGGACTGGTGCAATGCTAGCCCTTTAAATCTGAAAGTGAAAGTCGATGACATCAGAGTTTAGTTGAAAAATAAGCAGATCTGGCAGACTTTAAAGCTTTTCTAAAGTTAAGTGTACTTTCTTTCCAGGCCAAACAAAAAAAAAACTCTGGTTTTGATTTCTTCCAAATACCTTCCATTTTCTGTGCTGCTTTCTTTAACGCATGTGTGTGCTCATTGTGCCATGGTGTCAGATTGTTGTCCCTAATCTTTTTAAAGTGTAACAGTGCAACTATGTCTAACATGCTATGGAAATTAGAAAGATCAGGGAGATTACCGACAACGTGATTTTTAGTGCTATCGGTATACCATATTTATAAATAAAAGATGACTTGATAGACCTATAAATCAGTTATCAGATCATTAACAAAAAGAGTTTTAGAGAAAAGTGATCTAATGTTCAATAATCCAAGTTTTATCTTTTGATTAGCTTTATTTTTTATTTCATGAACATCAATTAAATTGTCACCTTTGAATGGGTTTGGGAGTTTTTTTATATTTAGATGTTCAGGGAACAGACACAGTTTTTATGTTCTTATTTCTAGGTGGCTCTATGTGCTGCAGATTATTTGAGTTAGGTAAACAATGGAGACTAGCAGACGGTTGCTTAAACCAATCTGTCTGCTCCCTGGCCTAGGCCCAAATTAGTCAAATGCCAACACTACGATTATATGCCACATTACTAGAGAGGAGAGCTGCTTCAGTCCGAGTGGGATGCAGACCATCTCTTTTTAACAGGTCAGGTATACCCCAAAAACTGTCCACCCCATATTGTCTACAAAACCTTTGTTGCACCACTTTGGGCACCCCTTTGACATCCAACCATTGGTGAATTTGGTTGGCTAAATTGTCCGTAGTGTACTGCGAGTGTGAATGACAGTGAATCGATGTTGTTGCTGTGGTGATCCCAGATTAATAAAGGGACTAAGCCCAAAAAAAAAAAAAAAAATATATATATATATATATATATATATATATATATATATATATATATATATATATATATATATAATAATAATAATAATAATAATAAATGATTGCAAACTGAAAAAAAATTTATTTGTTGTATTTGGATGTTTTATATGCAATGGATATATATATATATATATATATATATATATATATATATATATATATATATATATATATATATATATATATATATGTTTGGCATTGGCAATAGTTTGCCAATAATTTTGGCAATGTTTGGCATTGGCATAAGTGACCAAATATGGCTATAGCAGCCCAGCCATGTATATTGATCCTATAAAACTCTTGACCAACAGTTTTGGTGGAAAACCAAAGTTTAAGTGCACTTTTAATTCTGCAGTGAGTTGGGCAGCTGAGGTTTAAAGTTTTTTGAATACAATACATGTTAGTTGAATACAATCCAAGTTATCCACCCGGATGTCCCATTCAGACAGCTTCCTCTTGCATCCATAGTTACTCCTGTGTGGGATGCTGACATTACCCTGGATACAGTGGCTCTTGATAAATCACAAAGACTTGCTGTATTGGTCACAGATGTGCCAGCAAGAGGTACACCATTTGTAAGAAATACACCATTTGATTTCTTTTGAACTCTGATATGTCACTCATATTGGTGTGTGCATTGCAATATTTTAAGCAAAGCTGTGTTATTAGTCTGTTAAGTAAACCTTTACACTCTGCTCTTACTATTGGAATGTGCAATCAATGAAGATTGGCCACCAGGCTGGTCAAATTTAGTCATGAAACCTCCAACACTAAATTGGTCAGTGTTTCAGTTTCATTATCCAACCCCTGTTTGTTTCTTTAAATCTTTTTTTTTTCCATTATGTTCGCGAACTTTAAACAGTTGCTCTAAAAAAATTTAATTTGTATTTCAAGTTTTCTTTTAGAATTGTGACCCTCTGCAACCACTTGACACGGATGATGAAAAAAGGTCACCCTAACCAACAGGTATTGCATGACCCTTGTTTGATTATATGGTTGCCAACAAGGATACATGTCTGGTTCTAGAAGTAGTGACACCCGTCTCTAGGAAATATTGATTTGTAATATGCCCTGTTAAAAAGCATAGCTTTGTCTCTGATATATCCAACATCACTTATTTAGGGGCATGTTTCTTTCTACTGAATACCATTTCAGGAATTCCTGTCAATATGTTTGTCTGGGTTTACAGGACAAACCCAAGATAAAGTTTGAAAGAGAGTGCGAGAGTGATCAAGAGGAGGAGGTGATGCTGAGGAGACCCCAAACCAGAAGGAGAAGTAGCACGTCTTGAAATTCCTTGGTACACCATTGACTAATCACAATGTCAGTTGCACAAGGCTTATATATAATTTTTTTTCTGTATGATAATACAGTATGTGTGTATGTTTGATGTTTGTGTAATGTTTTTTATACAGTATTGTTTAGTTGTGCAGATGGTTCTTTTAAGATGTAATCACATTTTACTATATTTTTGTGGGGTGAAATTCATTCATTATATAAGGTGAGATCAGGAAGTTCGTATGTGGTCAAATAATTTTCCTATACATGTGGAAAAATGTTTAAAAATATTGCTAAATTCACCACAACTTCACACATCATTTTCATACATCAGATTGCAATCATTTTGATGTCATAACGTGTTAGAATAAAGGTAGATAAAATGCAGCTTTATCATACTTTTGGTAGAGTATTAAGTTATTGCCTCGGTCATAAATTGGTACTGTTTGTATTGCTGTTTAAATGTTAACAAAATGTTATCCACCATGTCCATCACATACTGTAACAGTGGGTGTGGCATTTTATAGTCTTTGGATTTCAGTGTCTTTTGATCCAGCTATTTTTAACTGTACAAAACAACTTGTTATGCTGCTTTATATTGCAGCTGACATTTCCTGCCATACTATTTTATTGTGTATTATCTTAATAATAAACAAACTGGTTTTCAGTTTAACAATTGCACAGGGACATCCTTCTGTTATTTATAGAGTGGCTACTGAAGTCACTTCCGTTTTTAAAAAAAAGGTGGAAATTTATTACTGGGATGGATTATACTTAAAACATTGCTATGATACCAAAAATATACATAATTTTTTAGCCTTCCTGTTATTTTTTTTTATTATTATACAAAATGTGTACAAATAGGAATAATGGTACTGTTTGGTCATTTATAATCTAATGTAAGTGTCTATTATAGACTTATTCTGGTAGCAAAGTGAAATCTGCTTGTATCAGGCAGAATGTATTGCTGGATTTATTGAACTTGATTAATGAATCTTAACAGTGACTGTTTACATGGACATAAGCAATCAAATTATTTGCCTTAATTTGAATAAGACAATAATTAAGGTGTTTACATGAGTTGCGTTTTAAATTTTCCTTTTATGATCCAATTTTACATATAACACATGTTGACACCACACTATCCACAATTCCTCTGGAGTTTAATGTAATTTCGGGTGTTTCATTATTTATTTTTCGACTTTAACATGTAAATGTACTCCCTGTTCTACTCTGGCATCTTCAGCACACCAAAATGCTAAAGACAATATTTTGACTTGGAAAGTTGGTGATGCATTTTAGCATAGATGATCTGCAGTACAAACATTTGAAAACGGTGGTGTGGTTATCTCACAGTCATTCACTGGTTGATCTTCTGGACTTTTGCATATCATTGTATTGGCTTTACTGCAAAAAGGTCTGGGTGTTTTATTAGACAGAAACTTAATTTTGAAAACCATACATTCCATGTCACAAAATAGCCTTCTTTTATCTGAGAAATATCTCTGAACTATGAAGCATGCTATTTATGTCAGATGCAGAAAAGCTATTTCATGCTTTTATGACTTCTAAGATGGATTACTGTAGTGGTCTGTTTCTAGCATCCTCTATTATCAAACCTTAGTGCAAAATGCCGCTGCCAGAGTTCTTACCAACTCAAGGAAATATGAGTACATCACCCAAATTTTATCTTCCTTACATTGGCTGCCTGTTTTGTATTGATTATAAAATATTGCTGCTTACCTAAAGAGCTTTAAATAATCTAGCTTCTGTTTATCATAACAAGGTTATAATAGTTTTGGATTTTTTATTGGTTTTAAATTTTATCTTGTTTTGACTTTTTGTTTTCAAATTCAGTTAGTTCTTATTATTTATTTAGAGGTAGATTTTCTAGTTTTTATATTTTTTAAATTCCTTAGTTTTAGTTTAGCTTTTATTAGTTTCAATATTAAAGTTTTTTTTCTAAATAAGGATTTGTTAAGTGCAAGATTCAGAATTGGGTAGGCTAAATTGTCCGTAGTGTATGCGTGTGTGTGTGTGGATGTTTCCTAAAGATGGGTTGCGGCTGGAAGGGCATCCGCTGCGTAAAAAACTTGCTGGATAAGTTGGCGGTTCATTCCACTGTGGCGACCCCGGATTAATAAAGGGACTAAACCGACAAGAAAATGAATGAAAAACTCAACCAAAGATACATTTTTTGAAATGTAGTCAGAGGACACATGACCACTGTTCCCCTTCGGGTGGGGAACTCCAATGCAATTAGTGGATTTAATTTTAGAAAATCCATGTATGGGAGGATTCGGTTCAGAAGCCTCTTGTCTGAAAGAGTATGAAACGGGCCAATGAATGCCAGTGAATTGGCAGCGTAAGCTTGTGCACGTGTGCTTCATTGCCAATTAACTCCGCATATAAGCACAGGTGGAGCAAGCATTCGCTATCCTTTTCGCTTCAGAGACTTTCTAAACGAGTCGATGAGGGTTTCTCCTGCTGTGATCCAGCGATTCCGAGCGAACGAGAGCATTCTCCATTTCGAGAGGAGCCCCATTTCCAATGGCACTTTTTACTGCCATGAAAACATCAATAAAAAAGCACTTTTCCACTTCCCCGGATGTAACAGCCCGAAATCTGCCAGTCTGGGACGCTATGCTTTCTAGCTTGCAGGTTCGGTGCGTTTCGCCAGTGGCTCACGACCGCTGGGAGGACGGCCTCCTTTCTCCCACCCCTCGAGCCTTCCCTCCGGAACTCGGGTGCGGAGTGAGAGCAAATCTCTCACCTCCAGCTCTTCCATGGGACCCGCGCTGCCCCACTGCTGGTACGTTAGCGATTGTAGCGATGAGTCCATTAGCGAGAGCTCTGCCTGCCTGGTTAGCGTGGGCCAGCCCTTCGCGGTGGCTCATACACACAATCAGACTCAGCTATGCTATTCAGTTTGTGAAATGGCCTCAAAAGTTCACGGGTGTGTATTCACTAGGGTCAGCCCCCTGTCCGCCCCTGTCTTGCGAGAGGAGATTGCTGTCCTCCTGGCGAAGGATGCAATCGAGCCACTCCCTCCAGCCGAGATGGAGAGGGTTTTACAGCCCACACTTCATCGTGCCCAAAAGAGTGGTGGGTCACGGCCAATCCTAGATCTGCGCGTTTTGAACCGCTGTTTGCACAAGCTGCCATTCAGAATGCTCACGCAGAAGCGTATCCTCCGGTGCGTTCGTCCTCTGGGTTGGTCTGCAGCCTTAGACCAGAAGGACGTGTATTTCCATGTCTCCACTCTTCCCCGCCACTGTCAGTTCTGCGGTTTGCGTTATAGGATGGAGCTTGGCAATACAAAGTCTTCCCCTTCGGGCTCTCTTTGTCTCTGTGGGTCCTCATCAAGCCTGCGGAGGGTGCATTAGTGCCCTTTCGGCTCGCGGGCATCCGCATACTTAATTATCTCGACGACTGGCTGATTTTTGCCTACTCTCGGAGCTATTGATTATGCACAGAGTCAAAGTGCTCCGCCACTTCCACCTGTTGGGGTTTCAGGACAACCGAGAAAAGAGCAAACTCGCCCCCGTGCAGTGGATCTCTTCTCTCGGGCTGGAGCTGTACTCGGTCACCATGGCAGCGCGCCTCTCCGGAGAGCGCGCTCAGCTGATGCTGTACTGTCTGAGAGAGCTCGACAGTAAAATAGTGGTCCCACTGAAACTATTTCAGAGGCTCCTGGGGCATATGGCATCCGCAGCCGCTTCACGCCGCTCGAATTACTCTATATGAGACCACTCCAGCACTGGCTTCACGATCGAGACCCCAGACGAGCATGGCACGCGCGCGTAAAAAAAAAAAAACTTCACCGATTGGCGAAAGTGAAGAACTTTCACTACCATCAATCCATCCTCAAAATTAAACACAGCAGCCCACAAGATGCCTTAAGTTGAATATGTGTGTAAGGCTGCTTTTGAGGTTAAATACACAGTAGTCATGGGAGGTTTAGATCTTTAATGCAAACCAAATCTTTTGTGACAATCTTCCCATGTTAGGACTCAACATACCGAAAATATGTAGTCAGTAATCATAATTTCAGTCAGTTAAAACCATGATCTGTAAGTTTCTTACAATTATGTTTTGCAACCCAACTGAAGCATGATCCACTGATTTAGATTCCTTTACGATGTTTAAACTTATGTACTGTTTGTGTTTGGTTCACTGTCTGCTGAATTGTGCAAGCACAGTATTATCTGTTTAGTGCTTCTCAAACCTAATCTCATACTGTTTTAAAAACTGAATAACTCAGTATATATTTGTCGTGATCAGGAGACCCAAATGCAAGGGAGAAATTCAACAAAGTTTATTAAATTCAGGCGGACAAAAACTCAGCTCTTCAGGGAGTATGAAAAAGAGTCACTTAAGTGCAACTTTTAGAACACAGGCAGTCAAAGTACATGGCTTTCTTCTGGGCGATGCTGGACTGGTCGAACATAAAAAGCTCCTTGGCAAAACAGTTAAATATAATAGGACAGACCTCAGACAGACAAGCAGATAGATTGGCTTCACTCAAGCGCAGACTGTGGGCAGAGTAGAGGTGAGCCAAAGCACAGTGGGACGAACAACAAATGGGTTGAGACAGGACGAGACGAGGTTCACAAGACTTAACAATCTCCGATGCAGGTCGGACGAGTAGCTCAAAGAGCTTACTGAGGCAAAACAATTATCAAGCACAGAATGAGGGAGAAGGGGAGATTTAATAGCCAAATAAACAGGGAGAACTAGTGGGAGCAATGAGGATGAAGAAACAAGGGAATAGACAGCAAGTGTAAATGCACACAAATAAACAGACACAAGAGGGAGACAGAGAAAACACAAAAAACCCTGACATTATGGTTTATTTCGAGTCAGAGGGGGTATTAGATATGTTAAAGTAAGAAATGTGTGCACTGTAAGACCTTACCAGGCTTTTTTTACAGTAGAACACTGGCAATACTGTTGCCAGCTACTCACTGTAATCGTTTGGCTACAGTAAGTAACTGGCAACAGTGTTGCAAGTTAATTACTGTAATATAGAGCAATCGTGGTAACTAACTGGAAACTGCTTACAGTTAATTTATTTAATGTTACAAGTCACTGCATTATACTGCATACACATAAATAGTATGTAATATATAGTTATTAGTGTTCCTAAAATTACTCAGTATTCTTAACTGTTATTAAAAATAAAAAGCATAAATTCTTTAGACAAATGTATTGTTTTAGCAGCAAACAAATACAGACTGAAAAGCGATTGCTCAATATTTTAAAATTTCTGTCCAATTTTAAAAATATTTAAAAATTTCTTTCTATCTTTGATTGGTCTCATACAATCACATGATGCAATTTTGCAGGTCAGACTTCACCAAGCTTAAACATTCCAATGCAGCGATCTGCGCAACTTGTCGCATGAGAGTGCATTTCTGGTCTGCAGCATTCGTGTATGTATGAATGGAAGTCTATGGGGAGAATAGTGCAGTGTGACTGGGGCTTTAAGCTTTAACTCTAATTAAACACACCTGATTAAACTAATTGAGGCTTGTTAAAAATCTATATGTAATGTTAAAGCAGGGTGGGAACTAAACTCTGCTGGGCTGCAGGCCTCCAGGAACCTATGGTATATAGCATAATTTTAAAGCAACTGCCGTGCCAACATTTATCACAATCACATGACCAGTAAAAAAACA